CAACAAAATGGTGTAGTTGAAAGGAAAAATAGGTCATTAGAGGAACTTGCTAGAACAATGTTAAATGAATCTAATGTTCCTAAATATTTTTGGGCTGATGCGGTTAGTACTGCATGTTATGTTTTAAATAGAATGCTCATTAGGTCAATTATTAAATCTACTCCCTCTGAATTGTTTAATGGTAGAAAACCTAATGTTGCTCATTTGAAAATTTTTGGATGTAAGTGCTTTGTGTTAAATAATGGAAAGGACAACTTAGGAAAATTTGACTCTAAATTTTATGAGGGCATTTTCTTAGGTTATTCATTAACTAGCAAGGCTTACAGGGTATTTAATAGAAGAACTTTAAATATTGAAGAATCTATACATGTCACTTTTGATGAGATTGTAGACCTTGGGAGAAATCCTCTTGAGTCAAATAAAGAACTTCCAGGTGATGATGAATATATAAGAGAGGCTCTTGATGAATTGTATTTGGAAGAAAGTGAGCCTTCTCCAACACCTGAATTAGCAAAAGAATGGCAATCTCCTAGAGGACTCTCAATGGACAATATCATTGGTGATATCTCAAAAGGGGTAAAAACTAGAAATATGACTAATTTTTGCATGTCTGTAGCTTTTGTGTCACAGATAGAACCTAAAAATGTTGAGGAAGCGCTTAAAGATGACCAATGGTGCATAGCAATGCAAGAAGAGCTTAACCAATTTGAAAGGAATCAAGTCTGGGAATTAATCCCAAGGGAAGAATCACATCAAGTTATTGGAACCAAATGGGTGTTTAGAAATAAACTTGATGAAGATGGAAACATAACAAAGAATAAAGCCAGACTTGTTGACAAAGGCTATTGTCAGGAGGAAGGTATAGATTATGATGAAACTTATGCTCCTGTTGCCAGGTTAGAGGCTATACGCCTACTTCTTGCTTATGTATCTTTGATGAAATTTAAATTATATCAAATGGATGTTAAGAGTGCATTTTTAAATGGTTTTATTAAAGAAGAAGTTTATGTGGAGCAACCCCTTGGATTTGAAGATTTTAGTTATCCTAATCATATTTTTAAATTAAAGAAAGCATTATATGGGTTGAAACAAGCTCCTAGATCTTGGTATGAAAGGCTAAGTAGTTTCCTAACTTCAAATGATTTTTCTAGAGGAAAAATTGATTCTACATTGTTTATAAAGAAAGTAAAAGAACATATCTTATTGGTCCAGGTATATGTTGATGATATTATTTTTGGATCAACTGATAATTCGTTATGTGTAGAATTTTCTAAGATAATGCAGGGAGAGTTTGAAATGTCTATGATGGGAGAATTGACATTCTTCCTTGGACTTCAAATCAAGCAACTTAAAGATGGCATTTTCATCTCTCAAACCAAATACTAAAAAGAGATCCTTAAAAATTTTGGAATGGACACCTCAAAAGAAGCTAACACACCCATGGGAACTTCATGCTATCTAGATAAGGATGAATCAGGTTTGGAAGTTAATCAATCTATGTATAGAGGTATGATAGGTTCACTGTTATACTTAACTGCAAGTAGACCTGATATTATGCATTCTGTCTGTGTGTGTGCTAGATTTCAGGCTTGTCCTAAAGAATCTCACCTAATTGCAGTAAAACACATTTTAAAATATTTAAAAGGAACTACTGGTTTTGGTTTATGGTATCCTTCTGATGCTTGTACTAGTTTAATAGGATATTCTGATGCTGATTATGGTGGATGCAAAATTGATAGGAAAAGTACTAGTGGGACATGTCATTTGTTAGGTTCATCCTTAGTATCTTGACATTCTAAGAAACAAGCTTATGTTGCTTTATCTACCACTGAAGCTGAATATATTGTAGCTGGTAGTTGTTGTGCTCAAATTTTGCGGATGAAACAACAGTTAGAAGATTATAGTATATTTTAAAATGACATACCTTTGATGTGTGATAATATGAGTGCAATTAATCTTACTAAGAATCCAGAAATGCACTCTAGGACTAAGCACATACAAATTAGACATCACTTTTTGAGAGATCATATCAGCAAAGGAAACTGTAAAATAGAGTATGTTGATACAAAGCATCAATTAGCAGATATTTTTACTAAGCCTCTACCCAAGGATAGATTTTATGATCTTAGAAGAGACTTAGGGATATTAGAAATAGCTTAAATTCTGCTTATTCAGACAGTTTTTGGATGATTGTAATGTTAAAATTCATTATACAGAATGTTAATAGTTTCTCATGTGTTAAAACCTCAAAAATTTGAAGTACTCTCTGGAATAATCGATTAATTGGAGTTATAATCGATTATTTGCATCCAAAACACTCAAAACAGGACATTCCTCTCTCGATTAATCGATTAATTCGCCAATTAATCGATTAAATACAACATTAATCGATTAACTGCACAATTTAATTAATTAAATGGTTCTGGCACTGGTTTAATCGATTAATCTGAGTTTTAATTGATTAAACCTGGCAAGTTTGGCTTCCTAGCCGTTGCCAACGGATCTTTTGACCTATATTCCCTTCCATATGACCGTTGGACATGCTTGGCTATAAGTAGGAACCTCCATTTCACTTCTACTCACTTTTATCTCTTGAAATCAAGCTTTCTTGCCTTATTCTATCAATCTTGCCCTCTTATCAATACATTTAGCTTTCTAAATCTTCTTGTTATTCCTCCAATCTTTCAATGGCCTCATCTTCTCATGCTAAGATCCCTACTAGAAGAAGATTTACACCTTCATCTCGTTCCCGTCCTAATTCTGTAGAAGGATGGATTTCTGATGCAGATGGCCAACAAGAATTTTTGTCCTATTGGAAGGAACGTGCTATTATTTCTCCTAAGTTCCTTATTGGTGAGCAATTCATCAATAGGGGATTCAACTTTCCTAACCTCCTTGAATTTCAAGGAGTTCTCCCTTTCATCCAAATGCAAGGTACGTATTATCCTGACTTAGTTAGGGTATTTTACTCTAGGTTCAAATTTAGAGATCAAATTGCTACCTCTAGAGTAAAAGGTGTCACAATTATTCTTGACGATGATATTTGGGAGAACGTTGCCCACTTTCCAATTAGAGAAGATGCTATTAACATTTATGGTGAGTTAGACGATTTTGACAGGTTCTTAGCTTACCGTTCTTTTCTGCGTAATCCCTCCATGGAGATTGGGCGTCTTCTTCTTGCTGGACCTTTGAAGAAGGAGGAACGCATGATTTTACATCTACTTGTCTGGATCCTCTGTCCCCGGGCTACGAATCATGCTCAATGTTCTTCAATCGATCTTCGTATTATTCATGCCATAATGAATAATGAGCCTTTAGATTGGGGCGTTCTTGTCACCATGACCATGTTAAAAGCCAAACGTCATCCCACCTTCAAAATTCCATATGCCCTCCTTGTCTCTCGCATTCTTGAATACAAGGGAGTAAATGTCGAAGGTGAACAAACAGTACGCACGAATAACTTGAATCGCATGTTGGACAGCACGTTGATCCAACTCCAAATGGTGCGTGTTAATGATATTTATGTTCACAAGGATGACGTTCCAAACCAAGGTGAAGATAATGAAGATTCTGATGAAGATATGCCTCATGCTGCTGAGTTTCCCTCTGATCCAATCCAAAGTGTTGGAACTTCTTCTACCCATCATGAAACCCGACAATCCATGGAAGACATGTTATCTGACATGAATCAGATAATGCAGTCATTCTTCACGCTTTCTGGAGTACGGCATGAGGAAATAATTTGTCGTATATCTGATGTAGATGATAAAGTGTGTCGTTTAGAAAATAGATTTGATGCACACTTTCATAGTGATGATAGTGAAGAATTTTAAATTTGTTGTTATTTCCTATATTGTAATGTTTGCTTATCTCTGAAATAAAATATGGTATTCTGTTATTGCTTTGATTGAGGGGGAGTTTTCTCTAAGTTATGCATATTTTGAGGGGGGGCTCTTATGTTTGTAATAGAAGAATTGTTTTTTATTCTAATCAAAATAGGGGGAGAAAATATTTAAAGTCTAATATGATTGTTTTTAAATATTATCTGGTATATTATCTGGTATGTTTAATGTGTTTGTTAATATGACAGATAAAACAGGTTATTACAAGGCTTTAAAAATATAATTTTGATCATCATAAAAAAGGGGGAGATTGTTGAACATTCAAGGACTTGATGTTGCAATTGATGGACATGAAGCTTGTTGATTTTGATGATGATTCAAGAACACAAGACTTAGAGTGTTGAAGACTTGTTTTTATTGTAATAACTCTGTTTTGATTAGATTGAGTCTGTAATATTAGAGTTTGAGATAGCCGATACATAGTCTGCACCTTAGAAGCTTCAAAAAGCTCAAATTTAGCAACCAGACTCGGCTTTAATCGATTATTTGGGGAATTAATCGATTAAAACAGTGAGAAAAACCATTTTCTGTATCTGTTCACTGTTTTAATCGATTAACAGGCACTACAAGAAAAACATCAAATAGTGACCGAAAATTCGGTCACTAAATGATCAAAATCAGTCACTAACTAAAATAGTGACCGAAATAGTAACCAATTAGAATCAGTCACTATTTCCTTGGTGACTGATTTAGTAACCGAATCAGTGACTGAATCAGTGACCGATTCAGCAGTGACTGAATCAGTTACCAATTTTATGACCAAATATATATGACCAAATCTAGTCATTATATCGGTCACTAATTTTATTTTATTTTATTTTATTTTTTTATATTATTATTAAAATAATGATAGACCATATTAAAAAATATGAAATACATTATATATACTATAAATGAAAACTTCAATTTTTACAAGGTACAAGCTTTACATTTCAATATATCAAAATTACATATGAATTCTTTCCACAAATATTCTTGACTTTCTGATACTTTTGTCTGTTTTCTGCAATTAAACGCTCTCTCATCTGCAGTAACAATATTGAGTTGCTGATTAGAATAAAATTTTAAAGGTACTTGCGTTAAAAAGTACTTTAGGAACTAAACTACCTGAACAAGAAGGTCCAGCTGCATTGATGGAGGCAATGAGGCTAGAACAGCTGGATCAACTTCACCATGCATAGCAAGCTGAAAAAAGAAAATGAAATAAACTATTGTTTTTATTTTTTTAAGCATAGATTACACATCAAATCACAAATTTTAGTTATGGAGTTGGGGAAGCAAACTGGAACCGTGGACATCAAAATAAAATTGAACAGGACACTGTTTTGTTGCAACCGAAAGACCATCCATAATATATCTAAACCCAAAAAGGGAAGGAAAAAAAAACTATGATGCACATTTTATCAATTAGGGATGCCGAGTGTACATATATGATTTACTTACCATCCAAGTCCAGAACAAGAGTAATTGAAGGGCAACTACGCGTCTGCTTAGGTAATAACAATCGTCTAAAAGTTGGAACCACTGTTGACAAGTCTAGTAAGGTCTTTATGAATAAGTATGGGTCAAAGTCATCAAAATCCTCAAACTCATCCTCCTCTGTGTATATGTCAAAAGACATTGGATCCTAATGTTGACAATTCAAGGACTTGATGTTGCACTTGATGAATATGAATAATGGATTTTGATGATGATCCAAGAACTAAAGACTTAGAATATTGAAGATTGAAGATTGGTGATAATTGTATTATAATAACTCTGTTTTATTTAAGATTGAGTCTGTATTTTTAGAGTCTAAGATAGCCGGTACATAGTCTGTAACTTAGAAGCTTCAAAAAGCTCAAATTTATCATTTAGGCTCGGCTTTAATCGATTATATAGGTAAATAATCGATTAAAACAAGTGAGAAAACACTTTCTATACAAACTCATCTGTTTTAATCGATTAAAACAACAAAATAATCGATTGTTTTGTACTTGATCCGTATGGATAATCGATTATTTCACCAAATAATCGATTAATCCAGAGAGGTTTGGGTTCCGACGTATTTGGCTCTGTTTTAATCGATTATCACTCCAAATAATCGATTATTTCGATCTGTTTTTCATTTTAAATTTCAAATTAACCCTATTTTCGAAAATCCAATTACCAAGAACCCTAGTTTCGAAATCTCCAATTCCTAAACCCTAATTTCCCTACTTAAACTTTGCTTTGGCACTCAGAAAAGAAGAACAACTCTTTCCATACAAAATTTAAGTGCTGTGAGTGCCAGAGAACTGTTTGTTGCAAGGAAAGGGGGCTTTTGGAACCTGGTGTGAGGCTAGAAGCGATAAGAATCACTAAGTGGAGTTCTTAGTGGATTGTGTGTTGTGCTGTCTCTAGGGAAAGTTGTTCTTCATCTCTTGTGGATTTCAAGAGAGGTGTTTTCTGATCTTTATCTATTCATTTATAATCTGTTTGTAACAATTTGTTCTTAGTGACAGCGTTAATCCTCTTTTGAGTGATTAGCAACTGGACGTAGGGTCTTTTGATCCGAACCAGTATAAACCTACTGTGTAATCTTCTCTACTCTTCTCTATATACATTTACGCAGTTTTTAATCGGTAAAATTTGGGGAAAATTTTGAAAACCTAATTTTTATTAAGAAACCAATTCACCCCCCTCTTGGTTTTTGTCCGACCACGCGAACATTTCGCTGCGCGATTCTAACACCTGACCGTGCTCATCAACACATTCCAGCTTTGATTTTTTCATGGCAAGATATATGGCTGAAACTTCCATGGAAAGACCATTTCCATCAAAATCAGAATTGCAACCATTCATATTTCTTGTGCCTAAAGCATGTATCTGATTTCCACAGCTCCCAGAATTAGAGTAGTTGGATGAATTGTTCATGTCTACCTCCATTGCTGTGTCTCGATCCTTGAGTGATAGGACCATCTACTGCATCTTCTTGAGGTAACTTTAATTCTTGACATGGAGAAGTTTTCTTCTGGTCTTCATTCTAAAAAATTTTGATAAAATCAACTAGATAGAAACAAAAGAAAAAAGATTAAAAAATATAAGAAAATTTCATGGACAAACAGAAAGAAAAGAAAAAAAAATCAATGCCAAGAATAATTAAAATAACACAATGTCATTTACCTATGTCAACAACTTTTCCTCCAGGATTTTTGGATAAGTGAAACCCAGGAGAAAATATAGTTCCAGCTCAAGATGAACAGCTTGATCGTTGCAACCCTGAAGCATTATTTAAATGCATTTAAAAAAACAAAAACAAAAACAAAAAAGTGTCAGAATATATCCAATTTATATGAGAACCTTAAAATCAAATCAACATTTCAAAAGAGAAACTTATGACGTTGAGTCATTATGCAGTTGGCATCTAAGATTAAAAACAACTTTCAGGTAAAAGAGAAACTTATGTAGTAGCATGCACACCAGGACACACATAAAGTAAAAGATCCAAAATAAGAGAAGTAGAAAAGCAGTCTAATTAAAATACCATAAAATCTAGTGAAACACCATCAACTGCATCATTTTCCAAACAAAGATTGGAAGTTCCACTGTCCATAAACTCATCCATTATTCAAATCTGTTGAAGGGATGGGCTCTCTAGCTTTATTCTCAAGAGTGCTAACTGAAGTTACACCAAGAAGATGAGAATTAAAATCAGTTAATTTCACTGTTTTCTATTGCCAAAAGACACATTGTTTTTGGACCATAATATATTGATACTGGAAATTTCAAAATATTTTTTTTTAGAAGGTTGAGTTATGCACTACAAAATATTAGAAGACAAATTAGACATAAAAAAAAATTGATATAGCTATCTTAAAAAATGTCAGACCATCACTAGTACTTACAAGATTTATTCTTCCTAGCAGATGATGTAATTAGGTCTGTCACTTTCTTTTCAGCAGCTCTTCCATTTTCAGATACCTTCCTTTGTGCTCTTGCAACCTTAGGACTACAATGATCTTGACTGGCATTTTTCTTAGAGGTTTTTTTCTTAGTTTGCATGTCCACTTCAAGAAGAATATGTGGTCAGCTAATTAATTTCTGTGAGAATAATCAAAGCAGCAAAAATAGGTAGAAAAAGACTACCCTGAGAAAGTGCATTTACGAACTAAATTTCAAAGATCCCTGACACTTTGAATGTCTAAAATTCAACACTAAGCAATACTTTTTCCATGTTTCTAAAAACCAGGATGAATCTTCGTAATAGCTTAAACTTTCAGAGCTCTAATTTCAAATTTTACATCCCCTACTACATTAATTGCATGGGACTATAATTCATACCATTAATATCAGCAAGAATAAAAAGCAGAACAAAAAAAAAAAAACATGATCATACTCAAAATCTGTAACCATGCCAATTTTCAAGAGCTATTGATACATCACCACACTAACTAAAAGTTCAAGGAATTAGTGACTCCTTATTCAAATCAACATGAGTCCACACCTTTCACTAATTTATTTGGAAACTAATGACACTAATAACATCTAAAAACTCACCAAATCAACAACCCAGTATCAATTGTCATGTCAGTATCCAAAATCCGAGCAACAATTCAAAAAAGAAATAGAAAAATTCCAACCTTCACATTAAAATTACACGAAACCCTAAAAACACGGAAGAGCCTAAAACATACAACTATAACAATGGGCATGTGCTAATCACTTTCTTACTACAGAAATACACGAAAAGTGAGTAAAAAAACTGCACCCAATTCTAACCCATTCAACATTCTTCCCCTTCAAAGTGAATTTAGATAATTGTTTTCCTTCTATTGGAGTCGAACGACCAATGCAGTCACAAAAAAGGGACAAAAAAAGTGATCAAAGCTTCGGAATTGACAACGCAAAGCAAAAGGTCATACATGATTAAGCAACAATTTCTCCGTAGTTTTTCTCTGTAGTTTTGCGGGCTTTAGCTTAGGCGTTTTCGCGCTGGCGGTGGGGGGCGACGACAGTGCGACGCTTGAGGGCAGGGGTTCCACCGTCGAAGACAAAGACTGGCTTGGTGCGGAGGAACATAAGCTTGCAAATGAAACGGAAGAAGCCCAGCAAATGGGCGTTCCGAACCATTTCGCCCTTCTCGTCGTGCATCGCTTTCATAAACTGCACCATCCATATGCTCGCATCTGCAATTAGGGGAAATAAAGGAAGAAGATCACTTAGTTGATGCGGGGGGAGAGAGAGAACAAAAGGAATAAGGTTTGAGGATTATCAACGGCGAGAGTTTTTTCGGCAAGGGTTTTGACGGAGACGCGGCGACTGACGGGGGAGAAAAGCTCCCAGAGATCGTGGACTCCTATTGTATTCCTATGCGGACTTTTTGTGCGTTGAGTTTCATTGCACGATGATTTGGGTTTGGCTTGGGGTTCAATGCCGTCGGAGTTGGGTTTCGGCCTCGAGTTTGTCGACATTGAGTTTCGAAGTCGCTTGGGGTTGGAGATGCGTGAAGAAGATGAAGAAAATGCGCGAACAAGTGTGGTTAGTGCGCGAAGAAGATGAAGAAAATTTGGAAGCTACGTCAGGTCACAGAGAGCGCGAAGAGGATGAAAATTTCAGAGGTCTGATTGTAGAGCGCAAAGAAGGTGAACATTTCGAAGGGTAATAGAATAATTGAAATAATTACATAAATTATATTAAATTAAATGTAGATTAATTAAAAAAATAAAATAAAATAATAAAGTGACTGAAATAGAAACCGATTTTATGTGACCGAAAATTCGGTTACTATTTCAGTTACTAAACTAAAGAATAATAATTTGGTTACTGATTCGGTCATTAATAGTAACTACATTTTTTAGTCACTGATTTTGGTTACTATTTGACATTTTTCTAGTAGTGAGGCGTGTTAATCGATTAACAGGTCTTTTAATTGATTAAAACAGAGAGTTTTGGGGTTCTGTTGATTTTGGCTCTGTAATAATCGATTAACACTTCATTTAATCGATTATTTCAGTCATATTTTGATTTTTAACTTCAAATCAACCCTATTTTCGAAACCCTTATTTCCAAGAACCCTAATTCCGAAATTCCCAATTTCCAAACCCTAATTTCTCTACTTAAGCTTCTCTATGGCATTCAGAAAATTAAGAACAACCTTTTTCATACAAAAGTTAAGTGTTGTAGTGTCAGAGAACTGTTTGTTGCAAGAAAAAGGGGCTTTTGGAACCTGGTGTGGGCTAGAAGCGATAAGAATCACTAAGTGGAGTTCTTAATGGATTGTGTGTTGTGCCGTCTCTAGGGAAAGTTGTTCTTCATCTCTTGTGAATTTCAAGAGAGGTGTTATCTTTACTTTATCTTTTCCATTGTAATTTGTTTGTAACAACTTTGATCATAGTGACAGCGTTAATCCTCTGTTTGAGCGATTAGCAACTGGACGTAGGGTCTTTTGATCCGAACCAGTATAAATCTCCTGTGTAAGATTCTCTTCTCTTCTCTATTTACATTTACACAGTTTTTAATCGGTAAAATTTGGGGAAAATTTTGAAAACCTAATTTTTGTTAAAGAAATAATTCACCCCCCTCTTGGTTTTTGTCCGACCACGCGAACATTCCGCTGCGCGATTCTAACAATGATCTCCATGTTCTAATATGAAGTTTGACCACTAGTGAACTCAGGAACCTCAATAGCCGGAGAAGAAGGAATTTGATCTTGATCAGCTTCATCTTCATCCTCATCTTCGGACATCCCATCATCAATCTTTGAGATCCACTCTCCATCAATTTTGATAAATCCCATCTTTCGCAGAGTGGAATCATCATTATTATTGGAGGCCTTTGGAGTCTCCACATATTCTCCTGCAAGATCTACTGCAATGTACCTAAAAATTTGATTAATCAACATAGCATATGGTAGTTTGTAATCAGCCAATCTTTTTTCTTTTATCATGTGATCCTTGATAACAAAAATCCAGTTTACACGGATATTATTTTCAATGTAATACATGAGAGCTAAATCACCCTCATTGACTAAAGCATAATTACTCCCCCTTGGAGTAAGCATCCAGGCAATGATGAAGGCAAGAATTCTTGGTTCAAGCTCCATCTTCCCAGCATTAAGAGTTCTTACATAATCATTTTGATTTTTGAGACAGGTGCGGAAAAATTGAATTTTGTTAAAATCTGGTAACTCTATAGTGTTATCTCTAGATACCTTTACACCAACATCATGAAGACCGACCACTTCTTCCCATACTTCAGGGGTGACCCTGTTAGAATTGCGCAGCGGAATGTTTGCGTTTAGGGACAAAAACCAAGAGGGAGGGGGTGAATTGGTTTCTTAAAAAATATTAGGGTTTTAAAAAATTTCCCCAAATTTTACCGATTAAAATGCTTGTAATGTAAAGAGATAATGGAAAGAAGATTACACAGTTGATTTATACTGGTTCGGATCAAAAGACCCTACGTCCAATTGTTAATCACTCTAAAAGAGGATTAACGTTGTCACTATAATCCAAGTTACAACACAATACAAATTGAAAAAGATAAGGATTAGAAAACACTTCTCTTGAGTCACACAAGAGATGAATACCTCCTTTGAATCCACAAAGGATGAACAATAGCTTTTCCTAGAGACGGCACAACACACAATCCACCAAGAAACCCACTCATGATTCTTATCACTTATAGCCCACATTATGTTTTCAAAAGCCCCTTTTTCTTCCCTACACAAAGTCCTCTAGCAATCACAACTCTTAACTTTTGTATGAAAAAGGATTGTTGTTTTGCAGAGAGCCTTAGAGAACCTTAAGTAGAGAGAATAGGGTCTGGGAAATGATAATTTTCGAAAACATAAGAATTGGGAATAGGGTTTTCGTAAATTGGTCTAGATTTGAATTTCAAAACTCATAATAGATGTAGATAATCGATTATCTTGAGTGATAATCAATTATTACAGAGCCATTTTCGCAGAGGAGTAAAACAGGACCAGGATAATCGATTATCTGTGTAAATAATCAATTATCTAGCTGGGATAATCGATTCTCCTGAGTGATAATCGATTATCACAACAAGGTTTTCAGAAAAATAAATTTTCAGTGCAGGATAATCGATTATTCTATGTGATAATCGATTATCACAGAGTGGATATGATAAAAATGAGTTTTCAGATGATGGACTATGTGCTAGCTATCTTGTACTCTGATTATACAGACTCAAAATCATAAAACAGAGTTATCACAAGTAAATACACATGATTCTAAGTCTTCAAGTCTTTAAGTCCTTTGTTCTTGAATCATCATCAAAATCTTCAAGCTTCATATCCTTGTATGTTTAACAATCTCCCCCTTTTTTATGATGATCAAAATTTGCTTTAAAACCCTTTGTAATAACCTATTTTAACTATCACAACTAACAAAACTATTAAACATATTAGGCATCATTAAAATTATTAAACATATGAGGCTTTAAATAATTTCTCCCCATATTTTGATTATAATAAAAAATGAAAGCTCTCCCTCTATAAGTGCATAAGATAGAAAAAACAACTCTCCCTCAATCAATGCAAAAATAAAATTGTATTCATTAAAACAATGTAGTACAAACAATAAATATTTTAAGAGATTAGAACTCTTCACTCTCATCACTATTAAACTGCGCGTCAAATCTGTCTTCTAAATTACACACCCGATCGTCTACATCCGAAATGCATCTAATAATTTCTTGATATCGTTCTTGAGATATAGAGAAGAATTCCTGCATTCTCTTATTCATGTCAAACAACATGTCTTCCATGGAAGGACCGGATGTAGAGTGAGCAGCAGATGACGTTCCAGCAGCATGAAAATTTTCAGTAGGCATATCAGCAGCAGGCATGTCCTCATCATCAGAATCTTGAGCCACGTCAGCCATGTGAGGAGCATCATCTTTATGAACATAAACTTTGTTTACGTTCACAATTTGCAACTGAGTAAGCATTTTGTCCAACATTCTGTTTGAATTAAGTGTCCAGGCCCGTTGTTCCCCTTCAATATTGACACCTTTGTATTCAAGAATCCTGGAGATGAGAAGAGCGTAAGGAATCTTGAAGGTTGGGTGACGCTTCGCCTTGAGCATTGTCAATGTAACAAGGCTTGGCCAATCAATTGGCTCATTATTCATGACGGTAGTATAATACGAAGGTCAGCAGAAGAACATTGTGCATGGTTGGTTGCTAATCCCTACAAGAAGATGCAGCAACATGCGTTCTTCTTTCTTTAAAGGTTCGGCCAAAAGTTGTCTGCCAATTTCCATGGCAGGATTGCGAAGAAAAGAATGGTATGCTAGAATGCGATTAAAATCCTCTAAATCAACGAGAACATTTACAACATCATCTCATATGGGAAAATGAGCAACATTTTCCCAAATATCATCATCAAGGATGATGGTTACACCCTTGACTCTAGAGGTAGCAACATGATCCCTATATTTGAAGTGAGAATAGAATACCCAAACTAAATCCTGATAGTATGTACCTTGCATCTCAATAAAGGGAAGAACACCTTGTTGCTCAGGAAGATTGGGAAAGTTGAATCCCCTGTTTATGAATAGCTCACCAAAAAGAAATTTAGGAGTAATAATACCCCTTTCTTTCCAGAAATTTAGAAATTCCTGTCTTCCATCATCATCAGAAATCCACCCTTCAAGAGAATTAGGGCAGGGATGAGAAGCAGGAGCGGATCTTCTCCTTGTTGAAATCTTTCTACGGGAAGATGAAGCCATTTAGAATGAAATGAGAGGAGGATAAGGAGCTTTGAAGAGAAGTAAGGCTTAGAAGATACAAGAGAGCTTAGAATGTGTGCAGAGTGCTTTGAATTGAAGTTTGAAAGTGTTCGAATTTGATTTTGAGTTCTCCTATATATAGAAAATGATCCTAACGACCATAAACAACTAGTTTTCCAAGAATTAAAGCTTAAAGAGTTGTTACCAATGACTAGAATAACCTTAACGTCACAAAATAATCGATTATCACCAGTGACAATCGATTATTTCTTCATCCCTGCCTAGAAAGTGCATGAACAATCGATTATCTGGCCTGATAATCGATTATTCCAGAGAGAAATCACTGATTTTGGCCAATTTAGTATAGATAATTG